ACAGGCAGACATCTGTGGCCTTACTTATGCCAGGAAGTTCCTTTTTTTCTTTTTTTGGAACTGGAAAATTCCACTTACTTTTATTTTACTCCTTAAAGCAGAACTGGACGGAGATGGGACCCTGGCCCAGCATGCGAGAGAAATAAACCGTGGCAGCTCCTCCCAGTGTGAGCTGAAACAGAAGGAACCCAGTTATCTGGCATGTGGTGTCCCAGATTTAGAGACGGTTCCTACAGTGAGAGTCTCAGAATAGTCACCTTGAAATTGGCAGAGGTCGGATGGTGAGCAGCACCCCTAATCAGACCTTTAAAATATGCTTTAAAGCCAGAGAACACAGCTGTCCTCTTCGTTACCAGCATGCTGTTCCGTCACCAAACGGTTCTTTCTGAAGTGCTGGTCATATGTATTGCTGAGCAGAAGTTTGTCTCTCTGCAACCCTGGCGTGAGGGAAGAAATCAGGATGCTGGGGAGGGGAGTGTTAGATTGGTAATGTGCTTGTCACAGAAGTAGGAGGACCTGAGCCCAGTCCCCAGAATTGTTTTGTTTGTGTTGTTTTTAAAGCCAGCTATAGTAATGCATGCTTGTAACCTTTGTACAAGAGAGGGACAGGTGACTCCCTGAGCCTGGATCACTAGTCCTTTAGCCTCGTGAGCAAGTTCTAGGGCAGCAAGCATTGCTGTCTCAAAAAGCAAGGTGCATGGCCTCAGAGTATCAACACCCAAGGTGTGAATACACGCACACGCACACACGCACACACAGAAAAAGATCCAAGGCCTCACAAAGGCAGCAGAAGCTGGCAGGTCCATGTTGGAGGTGAGCCAGAGACCTGAGGTTGTGTTAACTCCATGCTTGATTCTCAGAGGAGGTGAGCACACAGCGCTGCTGGCCAGATTCAGTTAAGGAGGTTACGATGGGCCACAGCATTCAGTGTGCTGCAAAGGGAGCCTTGTACCCGGGGAAGAATTACTATGAACAGGCAAGGGACTGCATTTTCCCAGCGTGTGAAGATGTTTCCCCAGTTGCAGAGTCCTGTCAGTCAGCACCTTAGAGTGGGACAAAGGGGCAACCATCACAGTTCCCAGTCCAAGGGCAACAGTATGGGGCCCTGAGTTATAGAGCGACTCTCCTTTAACAACATCCCAGCACCTGCACACTGAGAAGGGGTGAGCTAGGCACAGGTCAGCAACATCTGTCAGGTCGGGTGTATAGTGGTGACACCTTTTGCAATTTAATGTTAGGTAATCATAACCAATAGTCAGAGAAGTTGACAGTAGTTCTCAGCACAGCTTTGTAGTAAGGCCATGGGGCTAGAACTGGGTGACTGGATAAGGTAGACCTGTGAGAGAATGACTTGGCTTTGGATATTAAATAGACAACTTAAATCTATATGGAGCGCTTACGTGAATGTTGACAGCACACACACCAACGCTGGAATAACAGAAGACTCACATAACCTCTGGGCAAAGATGGCATTTGTATTCCATTAAAAAAAAAAACTCACATTAAAAGTGAAATTGGAATTTGGTTATCTTCTGAAAATTTTGGTAGGAAACAGTATCTAATAGCCAAGATTAGATGGCAGGACCCCAAAATCCAAAGTATCCCAGAATCCACAGTAGTTTTGATTCTCAGTGAAGGGTGTTTAGCTGGCAAAGCCCCTGTGATAGTCCCAAACTTTGGGCTTTTGTGATCTCAAGGGAGTAATTCCTGTTTCTGACATTTCAGATGTGGTATCCCCACCTCAGAGTAGAGGTGCTAGCAAGGTACCTACTTCCTGCCAAGGACGCTTCCTTCTTTGGGTGACAGTGGAGGGCACATGTCAGTGTGTTGTTTTTGTAGATTTCTGAGCCTGGATTCTCAGGACCCAGGTGTGCCTGTCCCACAGAGGTCCTGAGTGGTGATGGTATCCTGTTCAGTCAAGGACCGCCTTCTCACAGCCTGCGTTCCCAGGCCCCTTGCTGGGTTTTAATCTCCTTATATTACATGTCTGGGTTCAGGTCAGTTCCCTATATTTGTTTCCGAATTTGGCTGAAATTCTGGAACCTTCACACAAGCTTGTCACCCAGAGGTGTCCTCAATAATGATGAAGTGTTCAAATAAGAGTCACGTGATCTGTATCTGAGATGTTAGGGATATCAGAGTTTGCAGAGGCCTTTGAGGTGAAAAGAGGCACCTACCTACTTCTGTCTGGAAGTGGCGTGGACGTGTCTGAGAGTTCTTCACTTGGGGTCACGATACCTGTAAAGCTAGCCACCTTCTGTAAAGCTTGGGAAGGCCTGTGAGGGTTTGGTGTGATTCACCTCCCTAGAAACATCACTTATGATCAGGTCCAAGTGACTAGACAGGAGCTCTTTGTTGGGAGCCTGCTGGAGGGACAGACACTGCACACAGTCCATGCTTATGTCTGGAGAGGGGGATTGAGGTGACTTGCATCTGTGGGCAACCAGGGCTGCTTCTGAAACCAGACTGTCCAGAGCAAGACAGAGAAGCCTCATGTATATTCAGCCTTGGAGTTTACCTCTGTGACCACTGGGCAGGGGTTGCTGCAATGAGGATAGGGATATTGGTAAAATGCCACCAAGTTAGCCCCACCCCTGCAGAGATTCAATCCAGAAAAACAAATTTGTACCCTGCTGGAGACCCTTATGTCACCCCACGTAACACCTTCTCCTGTGACCACAGAGCTTCAAGAGCATGTCTTAGACCTGCCTGCCAACTGCCATGACCCTCAGAGATGGTTTCTCTGTCGGTTGGGCTCTTGCTTCGCTCAGGTGATGATGTAGGTGATGATGATTACATCATGAATCAGTTCATGAAAGTTAGATCTCAGAGGACCATGGGAAGAGTTTTAAACTCCACGCAGACTGCTTTCCTCAGACCCTGGTGAGTGTGTCTAGCCTTATATCCAGGTCCTGAAGTAAAAAGGGAGGAGGATTTTAGAGCCCAGAATGCCAGGTTGCTTTGCAAACATTGTTTTTCACTTGAAGTTTGTCTTCCCATCTGTCTCATCAAAAACCAGAAGGTTGAGGCTAGAAGATGGCTCAGCAGTTAAGAGCACCGGCTGCTCTTCCTGAGGACCCGGGTTCAATCCCCAGCACCCATGTGGCAGCTCACACCTGTCTGTGACTAGGGCATCTGACATACATGCAGGCGAAACAGTAACACATATGAAATGAAAATAAATTTAAAAGTTAAAAAAAGTTTCCTGTATCTAATTTCAAAAGTAAAATCAAGGCAGTAACAGTGAAGGCCACCCCAGCTTGTGTGCCCGATTATCTCTGTGTGCGCATTTATCTCTTTGAGCAAATTCTTTGGCTGATAGGTGTGTCCATATAGAAGCATGAGCCAACCCTAGGCTGCAGGTGTGAATATTAGCAGCAGTCATGCCGGCCACTGCTGCTTATGCTGCGTCGTGTATAGTCTGTACACTTAGTCTACCAGATAGCATCCTTACTGTCTTCCAGTTGGAGTCACAGTCGTGGAGGGAGGTGACTGGTGAGGCTGGTTTGGGGGCAGCCCTGATTCAGACAGAGTTGACAATGGTGGTAGAGTGTGGTTATAGCTATGCTTTCAGGTGTTATACTTGGGGTGTCTGCTCTGTGTCAGGAATGACAGAAACCTGTTTGAGAGGAGATGTTAACTACCTCTTTAGCTGAAGAATCTGTGATTTGGGAATCTGAGGTCACAGAATTCCTCCTATGGCTTTGACATGCCATGTGAAATGTTTTTAAGCTTGTCTGGGGGTGCCTGTCCTGTCCCTGCATTCTCTAGTACATCTCACCCCTTTCCTGTGATTCTACTCGGGTGGGAGAGCACAAGTGTGTGTCCTTGTATTGCATCGCAAAGTTCATTGAGTAAGCTGAAGGTGAGGAAAGGCGAGCACAACTCCTTGTTAGTTGCACACAAGAGAAGGGAGGGCTGGTGTGTGTGTGTGTGTGTGTGTGTGTGTCCATATTTGTGTATACTTGTGTAGGAAGGGCAGCTAGTCCCTCTTGGCCTTAGGAACCACTTTCTTAATGTAGGTCCTGGGCACCTTTGAGTTCATGTGGGGAGTATAGTTATTTAGCTTTTGTGATGAAGCCGCTAAGACCTGAGACTGGGGCAGAAGTGCCTCTGGAAGGTTCTCGAAAACTTGTTTAGAGTCCAGTGAGTTCCTTGGGGTTCCTGTGAGGAATCTACACAGATGAGAGCCAGGGAGGGATGCATGCCCCACAGTCAGACTAGAGCCCTTCCTTGAGAAGACAGAGAGAGACTAGTGGGTCCTGGGAGCCCCAAATGTCTTAAGAACATGTTTTAGAGGTGGCATGACTCCACTGTGCAGACCTCAAAGTTGTCCTAAGTATGTTGGGGGTGGCCTTTGGGCCTCCCTCTGCCAGTCCTCTTTGCCTTTTGTCCTGACATCCCAGCAGGGCCCCAGGTGGTTTCTCGCTAACCCCGTGTGGTCTCTAATGCCTCCCTGTCAGTGCTGCAGTGCTCTGTCTGATTGTGCGGTTCCATCAGTAGCTTTGTCTAACGTGTGTAGTAGTCGGGCATCCCTCCCTAACTGTGGCCTGTGACTCCGGAGACGCCATCCTCATGCCGTTGTGTGTTTCCCTCCCAAGCACTGGGTTTCCCTTGAGGAGAATACAGGTTCTCAGGTGCTGCTCAAGCATAGGAAGCATTTCTGTGTTCCGAGAGCCCACCCTCTGTTTGCCAGTGGGTGAGAATCTCTCGACTTATGTATTACTACATTCTACATGAAAAGTCTACACTCCTCAGCCAGGGTTCCTGGCGTTGCGCAGGAGGCCGTGCCTGGTAACCAGAAAGGAGCACGGGTTCTTCGACAAATGTCTAAATCCAAGTTCAGCTCTAAAAATGCAGCGCTTGTGGGAGATACATAAAAGTTCTCCCAGCCAGCTACCCTGCCTGGCCTAGAGTGTATTTTTCCGCAAGCGAAGCCCGTGTCTGTCTGCCCCACCCTCTCCATCTTCTTCTGTAACGTTGCGTTTTGTGTGTGGCAGGTGGCAGGTTCAAGAAGGAGATTGTTGTCGATGGACAGAGTTATCTGCTGCTGATTAGGGATGAAGGGGGCCCCCCGGAGGCACAGGTGAGTACTGCATGCACACTCATGCCAGACTGATCTGATTTTTTTTTCCTCCCTCTTTGATGACTTGATCTAAAGGCTGGAACAAGAGAAGAATCAAGTTTAGAATAAGGGAATTTAGGTACCCAGGGAGTTTGGGTATGAGTGGTTGCTTTTTTTTTTAAGTTCATATGTTTTTAAGAAGGAAAAAAAGCATCTGCTCTGAAATATGACTGTCTGAATGGCTTCTAGAAATTTTTATATTTATAAATATATCCTATTTTGGTCTCTTACCCTTTGGTTGATCTCAGAGCAACATCATTTTCAAAGTCTGCTGGATGGAATTGGGAAGCTTTTCTGCCAGTTGACAGGAGTGGGCATCTCCCACAAGCTTGCCAGCCCTCCTAGCCCATGTCATTCCTCACTGAACCCTAGACTACAGTGTACTGAGAGACTGAAAAATCTCTCGAAAGATAGCGTCAACACTTTATCCAGCTGACTTCTCTATTGACATCGTGATCTTCTAGTTAAGTGCAAAGAGCCCAGAAGTAGACACAGCCCACATCCACTGAGACAACCCACACCCACTGAGACAGCCCACACCTGCTGGGACAGCCCACAGCTGCTGGGACAGCCCACACCCACTGAGACAACCCACACCCACTGAGACAGCCCACACCTGCTGGGACAGCTCACACTTGCTACAGTTCACACCTGTTAGGACAGCTCACACCTGCTAAGACAGAGGCAGGGCCTGGGAGAAGGAGGTACAGATGTTCCTGATTTAATATGAGGGGCTGTAATCTCCCGTGAAGCATATAGACCTCCTCCTGTGCTGGCAGACAGGGCAAGGCCTTCTGATTTCTGCCTCTTGGAGGAAACTGTGTCTTAGTTTTATTTTTTTCTTGTGATAAAACACACTGGCAACGTAACTTAGAGAAGAGGGTTTGTCTGGCCCAGAATTTCAGGGTAGAGTCGATCGTTTCATGGGAATCAGGGCAACAGGGAACTTGAAACAGCCACAGTCAAAAGCAGGAAGCAGCAAATTAATGACACTAGGGCTCAGCTCACTTGATTTTTTGCAGTCCTTGAGACTGATTCTGCCCACAGTGGGTATGTCTTCCCATCTCAGTCAGCATGAGAACAGTCCCCCATAGACAGGCTCAGAGGCCCATCTCCCCGGTGATCTTAGGTTCTGTCAAGTAGACAGTTGACAGCCGGGCAGTGGTGGCACATGCCTTTAAATCCCAGCACTTGGGAGGCAGAGGCAGGTAGATTTCTGAGTTTGAGACCAGCCTGGTCTACAGAGTGAGTTCCAGGACAGCCAGGGCTACACAGAGAAACCCTGTCTCAAACTCCCTCCACCCCTACCCCCCCAAAAAGTAGACAGTTGACACCAACCATCACCAAGATGAAGGCATCCCTCCTGGCGTGTAGAAGAGAAAAGCACTCAGTCAGATGAGCCCCAGGCTTCCTGTGCAGCCACCAGTGTGCCCTGTGCATCCAAGGGCCGTACTGACCTGTGTATTTGCCATTTGAACTTGAGGTCTATAAGTCTCTTGTGTAAGTATTCCACATTTAAACGAATACAGTTTGTTGTCGGTGGCTGTCACTTCACACACACAGGCAACCACAATTAATTAGGAGCTCTGCCTGGCCCTAAGAGCTTCCCGAGGTTAAGCTTCTTGTAGAGAAAACAAAGGGAGACTTGGGCTCTCTTGTTTGTTTACGCATGTAAAGAGAAGGGAACTCCAACACTGTCTGTGAGCATGGGTTGCTGGGCACTGCGGGGAGCCCAGTTCCCTCCCTCTCCCAAGAGAGCTGTTGTAAATACGATGATGTCAGAGGCCTGGGTATAGATTAACCTCACAGCTCCCCTTTTAACCTTCCTACAGTAAGTAGTAATTTCCCAGCAGGGAGCTGAGGGGGTTTGGTGGCTGCTCAGCCTCTGCAGTAGCAGGAACTCTCTGGGAAAACACAGCATCAGTCTCCGCTGGTGGGTGCCTTGGGCATGGCGGCTCTTCAGCACATTGTGTGGGTACAGAAGAGGAATCTGCGCTCAACTTGAAGGCCACTAAGTCTTTTGAAGGTTCTGAGGAGGGTGTGTGAACTGATCCACATGCCCTGTCTCCAGATGAGGAGGCTTCAGGGTGCAGGTAGAGCCTTCCATCTGCAGGGTGGGTTAGCTGGTCGTGCCAGAGGGTAGACACTTAGGATCATAGTGCCCACAGGGAGACAGGAGGCTTGGATCCTCAGAAAGAGAAGGGCCCTGGAGGAAACATTCATGTGTGTATATATGTGTGTGTGTGTGTGTATACATGTGTACATGCACATGTACATAGGAGACATCAGTAATTTGGCCACAGTGCACACAGCACAGGTCAGGCAGCAGGCAGCAGCCAAGGGCTGTTCTGGAGCTCACAAAGGTCAGGCCTCACACCCTCTGCCTGTGGCCCACTCAGCTGCCCTTCTCAATTCCTCTCTCTACAGTTTGCCATGTGGGTGGATGCGGTCATCTTTGTCTTCAGCTTGGAGGATGAGATCAGTTTCCAGACTGTCTACCATTACTACAGCCGAATGGCCAACTACAGGAACACCAGTGAGATCCCGTTAGTGCTGGTGGGGACCCAGGGTGAGTGCCAGCCCTGCATGGCTGGTTTTGAAGGTCTTGTGGACATGGTTGAAGTATGGAGGAATTTGGAAATGACCTGAAGCTGGAAGTGGGGGCTGGGGCTGAAGTTGCTTTTTCAGAGTGAGAACTACCATCACATGGCATGGCGTTTCTGGATTGGTTCTATGGAGACATCATTTAGGCTCAGACAGATATCTGCTCTTCCCCCTCCACACACACCCCAGGTGCTTCAGGAAAACCTGCTGGCTCATGGTTTTTCTACATTATGATGCCTTAATTGCCTTTTGCATTAATCAGGTTGGTTTTATTTATTTTTATTACAAATGTCTGGTTTATTTTGCTTTCAGTACCCCTTTGATGCTAGCTTGTGATAGACAGTTGAGCTTTGCCCTCACCCTTGTTACTCCCCAGGATCTCATGGTCTCTCCTTTTCCACCCAGCAGTCCCTTCCCCAAGGGCACAGAGTCCCTATGGCTTCAGTTATTACTGTCTTTCATATCTTGTAAAACATGTCCTCTGAGTAAGGTGATTGTCACACAGAATCAGGCAGCACCCTCAGCCTGGTCACAGAGTTGCTCTCATGAATTGGCCACTGGAGTCTAGCCAAGATTTTAAACAAAATTTGTGGTATCTCTTCCTGGCTTCTCTAAATTTTGACCTGCTTTTACTATTTCGGATGGAATTAGTAAATCTGGTATTTACCAGCTGAAGTGCAGTCAGGGTTTGAGAGCCCTGTAATGAGGCACTGCCTGCCTGCCCTCAATGTGTCATTTGTAAAGTATTAGAGTTGTGTTTCCATGGAGACCATTTCCCCCTCACCCCCATTTTTTGTTGGATGCATGTCTGTGGTCTCTCTTACTTCTGAAGCCTGCAGCAACAAACCTCTGCCATTCAATCTTAAACCAAATAGAAGACTTTTTTGTTCCTGTAGCTCCCTCTGCTGGCCACCTGGAGACAATGCTTTGGTTCTTAATGTGCAATTGGTGCTTTTGTCCCTTCATAAAGTCCGGGGACAGGGGAATTAAAATATAGGTGATACACACCTGTAATCATGGCACTAGGAAGGTTGAGAAAGACAGATTGCCACTGAAGGCTGCCTGAGCTACAAAACAAAACTATCTCAAAAATACAAAGCAGTGCCCTGGTGTGGTGGTCCGTGCCTTTAATAGCACTCTGGTGGCTCTCTGTAAGTTCCAGGCCAGCCTTGTCTTTGTACTAAAGTTGTATGCTTTGTACATGGTACACTAGCCATCTAGACATTGTAGGCATCCTAAGACGAAGTATGCAGGCAGGTGATACAGGTTCTGTTCAAGCATCACACCCTGTCATGGAAATGGCTAGAGCATCTGTGCGTGCGTGCGTGCGTGCGTGCGTGCGTGCGTCCCCTAGAAGCCCTGAAACCTGCTCCCAGAGCATTGGCACTGTGCTACATGGGTAACATGGTTAAGGTGCCTGCTCTGGAAAGTCCTCAAGTGGCATTTTAAAGCCAGTATATCTCCCAGCCAGTTTTCCCCACAGCTGTCTTAGAGCAGAAGAGAGGAATTCTGAATGAAAGCTTTGCCTATGGCTGACAGGGTGATTCCCAGCAGCTAGCCTGGTGTGTAAGCGCCGTGTAGGCCTGCATCTGAGACATGGTGTTTTCCCATTGTGGACTCTCCGTGACTTGTGGCTCCTGAGTAGGTGGAAAGAACAGATCTGCCTGCTGTGTTTCTCCTGCCCACAGTGTTTGTTTGTTAGTGGAGTGGAGTAAAGAGTCCAGGGGTTGTCCCCACACACCTAGACTAGAGCTAGTGTAGCTAGTGTAGCTACTGTAGTGTAGTGTTGCCCCTCTGTGCTCTGGGAGAGGAACTTGAAGAATGGATAGTAGTCAAACAGCCATGTGTCAAGGGTCAGTGGACACAGGACTTGACCTTGATCGAGATTTTACTTTTATCCCTTTTATCTCAGTGTAGGACCAGCTGTTCTGGGGCCCTGCTTGGACCTTGTTAGTGGGCTGAGGGACCAAGGGCACCTATGGTAGGAAGGTGGATTGTGTGGCTTTCCCATGATCTACTGTCAGCACCCATGTGTTATATGCTCAGTGGGTTCCTGAGTCACCTGTGCCAACACTGGGGATGTAGGCAGCAAGACTGTGAGGTGATATGAGAAGCTCCCTGAGGTTTCCTTTCTGCTGGCTAGGTTAAGTGAGTTTAGAGGCTAGGGTTTGTTAAGGTTCGAGAGCTGAAAAACCCTTAGGGATACCTGACCTGCAGGAGGCCAGGAGGCCAGTGCTGAGAGACGGTGCTGAGCTCAGTGTACCTTCTAGGGCAGAGGTGGGCACTGTGTTTATTCATATGGGGGCACATGGGTGAGTGAAGGGCCCTCCAGTGCTCATTAGGCCCACTCTACCCACGAAGACTTGCAATTAGACTGATTAGAAGGAGATGCAGTTAGGACACTGCCAAGTTAAAGTTGGTGCATAAAGGGTCAGGTAGAGCTGAGCTGAGCTGCACGCCCAGGGGCAACTCTGTGGCATACTGACCTTAATTCATATCAGCGGTGGGGTATCTGCAGTTTGTTGGGCCCCCAGGCTGGATAAAATGTGAGCTCGGTGGAGGCTTGCTGACCTATGCTTCCCAAATTAGACAAAGGCTTCAATAAATTATAGTTTTAAATTGTTCTCCTTCCTATTTTACTTTAAAAACAATATGTTTGCACCCTTACAAAGGACCTTTTCCCTACTTGTAAACATGTCAGATGTACTTACTTGTTAGGCAAGACAGATGGGCGTGTTCTTTGGTGGACTGTATCTGAGGAACCTCTGTTGGGGAGGCTGTTGTCACATGGACACTGAGCGTCTCTAGTCACACATTGCTTTTGTTTTTGTTTCATTTTGTTTTTTGACACACCATCTGAGCCTAAAGGAAGGATTATGAGTCGCTCGCCAAGAGAGCCTTGAACTCAGTCCTCCTACCTCGCTCGGCCTCCTAAATGTTAGGACACGTGTGGGCCTCTCTTCACCATTCTGTAGCTTGAGTTGAGCCTGTTTTTGAGGGTGAACTATTTTTAGAATCCCAACTTCTGGGAGGAATGACTTCTCCATGGGCTTTGATGGGTTTTGAGTTGCAGGGGCCCCCAGAGCTGCAGGAAGCTACTGGTGGTGGGGCAGGTTTATGTCACGTGGGCTCTAGAGTCATGGGAAGCAGTTGCTAATGAACACCCTGTCCTTGTCTGTTGCAGATGCCATAAGTTCCACCAACCCAAGGGTCATTGATGACGTCAGGGCTCGGAAGCTCTCCAACGACCTGAAGCGGTGCACATACTATGAGACGTGTGCCACCTATGGGCTCAACGTGGAGCGGGTCTTCCAGGATGGTAAATGCCCAGCTTCGTGACTGTAGGGGCTCTGGGACACACTGAGAGAACAGTCACACGTGGGTGTAGGGACAGAAGCTCGTCATGCAGTGTGTAAGCAGCAGCGTTGGGGTAGCAGCTCCCAGTTCCACTTTCAGGGGCTGTGTTCAGAAGAGGGGCCCTGCAGAGCAATCCCTGATGGCATCTGTGCGTCACTGTGCAGCCTGCTCTGCCTAGGTGAACCAGTACTAAAAGCTCCCTCAACTCCACAGTGCGCATATTCGTGTCTTTAAGATGATATTTGGTCCTGGGGAAATTAAACTGAAAGAGAGTAAACTCTGAACCTCAGAAAGTAAAGTTAGAACTTGGGGCTAAGAGAGTGGGCCATCCTGAGGAACCATTACTCAGTTGCTCTAGAGTGCCCAGTTCTAGGGACAGTCGAGTTCATGGGGAATTCACCTTTTGGAGCTCCAGGCCCTGCTAAGGGAGGCATATCCATGTCACTAGTGGTGATGCCGGCTGTGGGTTACGAGAGAAACCTAGGATAAAGCACGACAGAAGCAGGTGGGGAGGGGCTAGCCCCTGCCTCAGGGACTTGAACTTCTGGATAAGCAGTGGCCCCTTAGAGTTGGTATCTAAGGACACACCAGAGCATGTTCCTATTTCCAGAGGCAGTTGGTTGTGCGGAATCAGTCTGAAGCCCTTCGGCCTACATCTGTGTGTGGCAACCTGCTTCTGTCTCCTTGCTTCTGTGTTGGGGATTGGCAGGGAGCAGAAAATGACAGGCCTGTGATCCTTATAGATCACAAAGCTTGTGGAAGTCACAAGCTTTGCTACTGACACACCCTGAAGAAAACTTGGTCCTAGCAGTGTACTCAGGGAGCAGGCGCCGAGAGCGCGTAGTTTAGCCAGAAGAATGCCTGTGCAACATGCATGAATTCCTAAGTTCAGTCTCCAGCACTATGTAAGCCGGGTGTGTTAGCACGTGATTGTGGCCTCAGTACTTGGGAGGTAGAGGCAGGAGGGTCAGGTACTAAGCTGCGTTGCAAGTTGGAGGCCAGCCCAGGCTGCATGAGACCCAGTCTTGAACTGGAAACTGTGATCTTTGGATTGTTGGACTGAATGGCCTAGGCTGTCTCACTGACTCTCCAGCTGAGATGTGGGGCCCAGCTCTTTCTACTGTGGTAGTATATTGAGCACTGGGCCACATTTCCACCCTTGGATTATGTCCCCTCCTGAAGCAACCAGGCTCTTCCAGAAGCTTGCATCTCTTTCCTCCTCTGCCTCGCAGACAGTTACCTGTTCTCTGGGTCTCGGTCCTGTTCTGTTCCTCTGTCTCGCTCTGTGTTTAATCCTTCCTGTTGCCAAATCCAAGGAAGCCTAGGATTGCCCTGAGATGCTGCATGTGCCTCTGGGTCCCACCATCCCTCTTCCCATTCCTGTATATCCCGGCCTTCTCAGCTGCCTCTGCTCGTGGTGCATACTTACCAGCAGCTTCCCTCCTGTCAGCCGCATGGCATGAGTTGCACTGGGGTTAGCTGCTCCCCTGGTAACCAGGGAACTGTAAAGATTAAGCAAGGAAACACTTGAGGTCTTTCTAAGGCATGGCACATGGCCCAAACACCTGTGTGAGCTGACCAAGTTGACTCAAGTACTGAAAAGCCCTTGACGGGGTCACAGGCAGGCGTGACTGGCTTCCCGCTTCTGTGGATGGGTTTTTCTAATCCAGCCGTCTACTTAGGGAAGGTAGATGACCCAGAGGAGTTCTAGCAGAGACTCCAGGTCCTCACCAGCCCTCCGGGAGTGACTGTAATGTGGGCGTCTAGAGGATGCTTGTGTGAGTTCTTCCTTTTCCAAGACTTTCTGACTTCTTACATTTATTCTATTTAGTGCTCATGAGTTTTCCGTAGTGACAAGAGCCAGTCCGACACAAATGATCTTGCAGATCGTTAGCGGGCACTATCAAGGTTAGGACACTAACTGGCACACACCAGCGAAACATTTCTGTTCATTCCTCCACTGCAGCATAGAGTGGTTCAAATAGCAGATAGCTTTTCTTCAGAGGTCTTGATGGAGAAAGCCCAAGTTCAAGGGTCTGGTGAGGGACTGCTGCCCTGTTCACAGTGTCCTCACTAAGGCAGAGAGGGGGGAGAATTCAAGATAGGAATTTGGGCAACACAGATCCTCTGTTCCTGGCCCAGCAGACGGCTCAAGGTCACACCTGGAAACCATCTGTGGGATGGAGATGTCCCATTATCCTTTCTGGGAGGAGATGCTGCCGAGGGGACTGTGTTCATTCCAAATGCCAGGATTGTGAGATAATACAGGAGTGCTGGCGTGGACCCACTCTCTGTCCTCTCCCTGTGGAAACACGCTGTGTTCTCTGGGTCTGTTGCTATAGGCTACAGTTCAGACTTCAGTTCATCTTAACTTCTTATTTTAGAATGAACACAGTATGAAAAATATCTGTAGAGCCAGGACATCCAAACACACGGCAGGTTCTGTTCTGTTAGCACTTGAGAAAGATTAAGAGGTGTAGCCTTGGTGGAGAAAGCGTGTCACTGTGGGTGGGCTTTGGGGTTTCAAATGTACAAGCCAGGCCCAGTTACTCTTCCTGCTGCCTGTTACAGTCCTCAAGTAGGCCACTCCATAACAACCAAGCATCCAAATAGATGAGCCTGTGGGGCCCATTCCTGTTCAGACCACCATAGATCACATATGTGAGTTCGTTCTTACTTAGATCTGTTGTTCTTGTCAAATGAAAATTTCCGCTCTGGATGCACAAGAATGGGAAACCTCATGTCAGAAGGTTCTGGACACCCTTGCTTGGGTTCCTGGCCTTCACTTGCCAGGGCTTCCTTTGCAGGCTGATATCTATCGTCCTGGTGCATGGACAGGCATCTGGTAGAGTGGTCCTTATTCTGGGAAGGTATGTGACAATCCTCTAGTTTAACTCCACCGTCCTAGTGGGTTACATTTGTGCTTCAGTTAACATTCTGGAAAGCATTTTCTTAGCCGTTCTATCCCTGCCTGGTGAAAGCTTGCCTATGTGCAAATGCTGGCTGGAAACCCGTGCTGGGAGAGGTCACCTGCCTCTTTATAGTTATGTCATACAAAGGCATCTACTGATCCCACAGATTGCCACTGGAGTACTCAGAGAAGCACCTTCTGTATCTTACATCTGCAGCTGCCCAGTCAAGCAAGGGTGGCTGTGTTAAAGAGCTGCTTGTGTGTCCTGATGGCACATGCTGGAGCATCCTTATGTCCATGTCCTTGTCTGGGCTAGAGCCTCTCAGACCATTGTGTTGTGCTGACCCCACAGCTCTTGTCAGTACTGTTGCAGAGTGGTTGTCATCTCCGGGGCTCGCCTAATCCTCTTGCAGTCAGCTTCATCCTTGTTTGGGAGTCATTGGGGTTATTATGTAGTTATTTCTGTTACTGTTGTTTTTCTTCTTTGTTTATGAAAAACTAAATGTGTTTTGGCAAAAGAATGCATTCAAAACAGATTTTTCATCTTTGGAAGCAAGCAAGCCATGGATGATCTGAAAGTGTTTGAGGCATTGAATATAATTGGGAAGGGGAGCTGATGAGTGGGGCTCTGGTAGCATGCTCTGCTTGGCTCTGGTGCAGGAGGGCGGGCCCATTAGGCACACACAAAGGTATTTCTTCCCAGTGTCTCATGGCACTTCTGATGTCCCAGGAAGCTGGCATTTCTGGTATCTGCCTGCACTTTTCTATGTCACCCCCAATTCTGATCCTTAGTACTGAAAACTTGTTGAAACTTCCTGGATTTGTCATGGCTTAGTTAAGAGCCAAAGTTGTCCACCGTTGCTGTGGAAGAGAGTGAAAGCATGCTTCATGCTCTAGAGGCAGCTGGTGAACCTCCACAGGTGCTCCTGAGATGACTGGCAGCCATCTTGCTGTGACCATTAACAGCGAGTGTATCTGGCCATCATCGTGTGGTGGCACCTCACAGTACAATCCAATGGAAATGAGAATCAGCAGGTTGTCTACCACACAGTCACGTGGGCAAGGGACCAGCAACTCTGGCTACATGGAAAGGTCTCTACCCAATCACATCTGATCCAGCCATAGGTGGGAGGAAGTTTGATAGGTCAGAGTAGATGTCTCTCTTTGTGCTGTAGCCTTGCTCATACATGATTTGATTAATTTTTCATGTTGTGTATATGAGAATTTTATGTCTGTGTGCCATTTGCATGTTTGGTACCTACAGGGGTCAAGAGGAGGTGTCAGACCTACTGGAACTAGAGTTATATGGTCATGAGCCTCCAGGGAGGTACTAAGAATTGAACATGGGAACTCTGTAAGGACAATTGGTGCTCTTACCCACTGAGCTGCCTCTCCAGCCCTGCATAAATACATGTTTTATTTGTAGTAACTATTTGTATTAGACACGATATTACCAGTACCCTATGTAGGTCTGTACATCTTCAACTCCAGTTTCTTTCCTATCTGAGACTAGCCTTCACATATCAGAGGGTTCCACCACAGACTGAATTAGTACCCACGGTCCATCTTCAGCTTCTACATAGTAAAATGCAGACTCAGACTTTAAGGATGGAAAGAAAAACCTCAAATAGTTTTTTGGGGAAAAAAACCCACCATGGATTCAGAATCCTTCCATCCTTGCTAAGGTCCTAGCACATGCCCCGTTGAAGAGCCATGCATTGCTGGAGCTTCTGGGACAGGAAGTAAACAGGACTGCTGGCCTGAAATTAGTTTAAGTGCCGCTGAACTTTTCCAGGGTAAGCTGGGATCTGTTCAAGGTGATTATCCTGACCGAGCTCAGTGTTTCTGGATGTTATTATTTCAATCATTTCACATTATGAGTGTGCCTGTTCTCATCAGACCTCCATTCTTAGCTCTGGTCCATTGGACCGTTCAGTAGACCCAGAAGATGGACTTTAAAAGAAGAATTCTTTCCTTAGCTTGTTAGTTGATTTGTCTAAAGTCACCCATGCAAAATGGACATGTTTCAGTGAGTATTTTCATAATGATTG